ACAGAAAAAAAGCTGTGGAGGGTATTTTGGGGTATTTTGTGACTGCAGGTGTTGGTGGCATCACTCATGCCCTGAGTGTGACTGGTCTCTGCTGTGGAGTGGAGATGGCAGAGCCTTTCCCAGGCCGGGGGGGGGCTGGTCCTGTTGGTTGGTCCCTGTGTACAGACACCTACTAATGTAGGAATGTTGGCTGTAAGAGGCATGTGGGAGTAGCAGTGATGCAGAAAGGTGAGGAATTGAGAAATAGCTGACCTTTCCTGCCCAGAGCGGGTCCTAAGAGACGCTCTGGGCTGCTGGAGACAACACTGCTTTCTGTTTACCCAGCAAAAGCATAATGTTTGTTGTTACAACAGAGATGTGGATGGTCTTCCCAGGAAGCAGGCTCCTGGTGTCTCTGGAGTGTGAGGGACCTTCTGGGGAGCTCCTACGACCTGTTACCAAACACAGTCTGTGAAGGGTTGGTGCTGTGGGGCCTTCCTGGTGCCGATGCTGAGCCCCATGCAGGCTTTGGTGCCTCTTGAGCTGGTAACACGCAGGGTTTTGCTGAGAATCAGGTGATTTTTATTAGTTGTCTCCTGTTAAACTTTAGCCTTGAGCCAGCTGCCCATTGCCCCTGGTCGGGTTGATCCACTGCAGGGCACCAGTCTCATCCCTGCCTGGCTAAAGCATTGCCTTAGCACCTCCTTGAGGGGCTTGTTAAGGTGGGAACAACCAGGCTCTGTCCCTGTCACTGCCCTGCTTGCTCTGTCTCCCATGCCATCCCTTGGGTCTAGCCCCAAACAGGGCTGCCGTGTAGCCCCACTCAGGAGGAATGTGCCTGCTGTCCTGTGTCACAGTGCCAGCACTCCCTTGGGGCTGGTGACACCGTCTGTGCTGTGCTTTCTGCTCCCAGATCTCTCCACGAGCTGGGAAAAATAAAAGGGATGTAGTTAACATAGGTCGCGTGAGCCCCTTGCCAGGCTTGAGGGGCTGAGGATGTGCAGTCCCCAAGGAGGACAGAGCCCTCACATGCTTTGGGGTAGCTGCCTGCTCTCAGGGGCTGTGCCGGAGCGATGCCAAGGGCCTGGGAAGCTGGAGAAACCCCATGGGCTTTAAGGGGGCAGCCCCAGATGGAGATACCCCACAAGCTCAGGGGGCAGGCTCAGGGCAGTTGCTGCAGTGGTTTCCCTCTGCTCAGGAGCAGGAAGTGGGTGACATGGGGTGACATTGCCACACAGTCCTGGATGGTTTCTCAACAGGTATCAGGAAATCTTGTGGCTGGGGCAGGGGAGTAAAAGCGAGCAGGTCTGCAGACACCGCCCCGGCTGGGCACCCACCAAGCAGGGTGGGAAGATGCCAGGCGGGATGGGGAGCCAAGCCAGAGCGGGCAGAAAGGGATTTCTCCATGACAAGCTGGGAACACACTGGTGTCCGTGTTCTCCAGCCGCTGGCAGGCAGCCGGTGCCTGCAGACCCATCCCCTGCCACCCCCATCAGCCCCATCCAAGCCCACTGGGTTAGTGGGATTCCCCTGGGAATCGCTGTGGTAAGGAGCGGGAGTTCTGCATGTGTCAGAGTTCTGTTTGCTTTGTTGGGCTGGACTTGCCTTTATTTACTTAAGGAGCCTGGAGACACTGGCTGGGAGAGCAGCGCCAGCACCCAGGGCTGTGTGAGGGGTGCACATATCCCACCTCTGGGCAGGATACAACCTCTCTCCCCAACAGTGCTGGGTCCCGCGTAGTTGGGACCCCCCCGTACCAGGGGGCTTGGACACTCGTGTGGGTCCCAGTGCTGGGGTTGGAGGTGCTGAGCCAGAGGTGACACTTTCACACCTCCAAGGCCAGCCCTGCTTCCGGGGGCCCTGCACCACAGGGACTGTCCCCAGCGCCCTGTGAGAGCTCGTCCTCCCCCCGCCTGCGTTTCCGGAGGCTTCAATTGCTCAGGAGTGTCTTGAGAAAGCTTCATGCAAACCACAGGGTGTTATCAGAGCACAGGCACTGGCTGGGGCTGCTCTTACCAGGGCAAGGCTTTAGCTACCAGCCCCACGCTTCCCTATAGCAAATTCAGTGCTAGATCAGAGGCACCCCTGCCACCAATGCTCATGCCTCCTTGTAAAACCCTCCCAGGGTTGGGTTTTGGGGTATAATGAGGAGCAGATTCCCCCCCAACACTTCCATTTGGGAGCGTTGCACTGGGAATAGTTGGTGTCTAATTAGGAAATGAATTAAATTTCCTCTCGAGGCAGCTGCATGAAAAGCAGCTCCAGTCGAACGGGACGTGATGAGGATGCTGCGAGGAGGCTGCTTTGCATCCCCTTTGTATGAAGCCCGAATGCGTGCACCAGATTTCAGGACCCGTGTGAATTTGCTGGCCCAGGCATCCTTGGAGCTGTTGTGTTTCTCTCTGAGTAGCTGCGAATGCTGCTGCCGATGAGCTTGTTGCTGCTTGTAGGGCTGCAGGGAGTTTCCTGCCTCTTGTGGTTTCAAAAGCTGCCCTGAACTTGCTGTTATGGGGCTGGGAGATGGGGAGTGGGTCCTGGCACACACACAGGGGGTCCCCACATCACTGGGTGGCCAAAGGTGCTGGGGAGGGATGGTCTGACATGCTCCTGGAGGGAGAACGGTCTGGAAGTGCCCAAGTCCTGTTCTAGGGGCTGCAGGGAGTTTCCTGCCTCTTGTGGTTTCAAAAGCTGCCCTGAACTTGCTGTTATGGGGCTGGGAGATGGGGAGTGGGTCCTGGCACACACACAGGGGGTCCCCACATCACTGGGTGGCCAAAGGTGCTGGGGAGGGATGGTCTGACATGCTCCTGGAGGGAGAACGGTCTGGAAGTGCCCAAGTCCTGTTCTAGGGCAGGAGCAGGGATGTGATGCCACTGACTTCCCCATCCCACATGGTCATCTCTATGGGCAGATGTCCCTCTGCCACCCGTGGTGGCACAGGATGTCCATGCTGGGGGCTGAGTCCAGCTTCCCCCACTACCCACCGGAGGCTGTAATTGCTTGTAAGAGGCTCTGCTGGCTAATCCATGCCCCAGCACCACAGGCAGGCTGCTGGTGTTGGAGGAGAGGATGCAAAAGCTGATAGAAATTAAGGCATTTCTGTTTTCCTGCTGCTCAGCTCCCAGCCCCACAGCCATGGGGCTTCTCCATGTCCCTTGGGATCCCTCTGGGCAGGAAAACTTTGGGGCTGGAGAGATGCGGATGCCCTGGGTGTTTGTCCCATGAATGGGATGGAGCATCGGGTGCATTTATAGCTTTTTCTCAGGAACGGTGGCTGCCCGCAGGGTTTCTGCTGGCACAAGGGGTTTGGGAAGGGTGAGGGCAGCCTGGCACGTTGTGCTGGAGGAGCTGCCAGCCCCTGGCAAGGGGATGCTGTGGGGGCCGGGTCACGGCTCGGCCAGGCTGCCCTGGCACCGGTGGCCTTTGAGGGCTTGATCTTCCCTCTCTGGCATGACCCCCTGTCCATCCTGCAGGGTTCCCCCCCAGGTCCATGGCTCCAGCGTCTCCAAGAGCCTGGGCTGCCGGGGCTTTGTTGGTATGGATGGGAGCGAAGTCCTCCCTCCTCCTCCTCCTCCTCGCCCGGGAGCGCTGCCAGCGCTGCTTGCCGGGTGCTCCCTCTGTCTTTGTCCCGAGCTATCGGCGTGGAGCAACCCCGTGGTGCTGCCAAGGGCACCGGGAGCAGGGGTGCTCATAGAGCCTGAGCCCCCTTCCCAGAGCCTTCCTCCAGGCTCCTGCGTTTTGGCCTTGATTTGGGTTTTCCCTGTCCCTCATTAGGGATTGCTGCCTGGGCGGATGGAGGGTGCAGTCGCAGCAGCCTGGATGGGTTTTTATCATGGTGTTGGGCTTAGCGATTGCAAATACATCACCCTGGACTGTGTGGGACCCTGTGCCACCACAGTGCTGCCAGGCACCCCAAGGACCAGGCTTTCCATCAGGAAGCAAAGGGGATTTCATGGCAAGAAGTGAGATTGCTGTACAGGGGGTAAAGAGCAGCACAGTGTGGGTATGGGAGGGGGAATTCCTGCAGTGCTTGTCCTCAGTGATGCTATCGGTACCAAAGGATAAAAACCATCTCAGAAGAAAGAATGAATATTAATCATCCCCTCCATGGTGAGGAGTATTTCAGGCTCGACTGCTGGGAGAGCCCTACCAAAGCCCTGAAGGTGGTGGCCAAGGCAGGATCAAACCATATTATATATAATTATGTAGAAGTGGTGTTTGGGTGCTGGTGTTTGTGTTGCCTGATTCCTCTGATGCTTCTTGTGCATCCTCCTCCCTGATGGGTGAAGGCAGCTCCTGGGGATGTTCCTGCTTCCACCCATTGCTCACAGTGTGGGGAACTGTGCTCATGGGGAGCCGATGTGGGGCTGTGACTGACCCAGTTGGGTTCCCTGGCTCCGGGTGCTGGTGGATCCACAGGTCAGGGTGAAACTGGGTGCAGATGAGCTGGGTGTTGTCTCCTTGAGAGGTGATCGTCCCACATTGCGCCGCCCCGGTTGAGCTGGTTTCTCTCTTTTGCAATCCCAGAGGGTCCTGCTGGGACATTGGGGTGCCTCAGAGTTTGGGCTGCTCCATCTGGGTCCCAGCTGCCTGTCCAAGCCCCATGTGCCACTTCCCATGGCTGTGGGGTGCTTTGGGGTGGTCCCATTGCTGGGTTTGCAGTTTGCACTGGAGTTATGGGGGGACCTGTATTGGTGGCTGAGACTTCTCCTATGGCAAAAGCTTCCCAGCAGCCTGGCTTGTGTTTACTCTTCCACCTTCATTTGGTGGTTGCAATCCTGATCCCAAAAGGAAGAGTGTGGTCTGGGAGCACACATAATAACATGTTTGTTTAACGTTTCACTGCAATTAGCGTGCCCCACACCTAATTAAGTAGAGCTTGGGTTCATAGGGTGTTTTGGCACCCTGTGTCCCACCTTGAGATGTCCTTGGGTGCAGGTAGCCACCGGATACCACCCAGGCGGATCTCTGATGGTCCTTGGGTGTTGGGGGGGGTGGGTCTGGGAGCAGCTTTCCCACAGGCTCATCCCGTTGCAGGAGGAGCTGCGGCCTCGGCTGTGCCACATGAAGAAGGGTCCCAATGGCTACGGCTTCAACCTGCACAGCGACAAGACCCGCCCGGGGCAGTACAACCGCGGCCCGGGGCGGCAGGACTGGCCCCCCAGGACCGCATCATCGAGGTACGATGGTGGGGGGGTGCTCCCTTGCATCCCGGCACCGGGAGGTGCGCGGTGACCCCGGTGACTCACGGTGCAGCCGGTCCCCACCCAGGGGTGCAGCGTGGCAGAGGGCTGGGGCTGAGCAATCATTATCCAGCCTGCCCGGAGCGTGAGCATCCCATGGGTGTCCCTGGGGTGGGGCATGCTGAGGGTAAGGTGTACGATGACCCCATGTGCTGCCACTGGCCATGACCGGGGTGGGGATGGGACCCGTGAGGGCAAGAACCAACCCTGCTGCTCACCAGGGTGTGGGGCTGCTGCCTCTTTTGGCACGAAGCTTCAGGGTCACTGAGGCCCGCACCATGGCACAAAGGTTTTGTGCCTTGCCCGTGCTGCCCATCTCCTGCGCCAGCCCCAGGTCTGTGCCCTGCCAGGCTGCTCCCTGCCTGTGTGATCCCGTGCTAATCACTCAGAGGAAAATCTGCTTTTAATGAGGTTTTGCTGGCTTCACCGCTAATCCCTGTGAGGCTGCGGGTACCTGTGGGGGCTGTGGGGCGCCTGTGCTGGGGCTGTGACTGGTACCATGACTGGTACCCAGTCCCGAGGGATGGATGTCCCCCAGCCCCAGCAGTGACGTGGTGCTATGCCCACAGGTGAATGGGGTGTGCATGGAGGGCAAGCAGCACGCTGACGTGGTGGCAGCCATCAAGGCGAGCGGCGATGAGACCAGGCTGCTGGTGGGGGATGTCCTCACGGATGAGTTCTTCAAGAAGTGCAAGGTGGTGCCCTCGGAGGAGCATCTCACAGGTAGGCTGGGGGCTGTGCTGCAGGGAGCCCGGTTTGTGCTACCTCTTCTGGCTCTGTGTCACCTTGTCACAAACCTGAGGGTGCTGAGCCCTGGGAGGTGGAGATCTCATCAGCCTGGGCCCAAGCAGGGTCACCCAGCTCTGGGGAAGGCGGGTTTATGGCCCTGGGTTGCACTTTGGCAGGGTTTATGGCTTGGGGAGCAAACAGGCAGCAGCCGCCCTTCGCTCTCCTCCGCAGCCTTGGCTCAGCCTTGGCCCCCTTCTTGCTGTCACAGTGGTTCCCAGGAGGATGGGGGGGGTCTCGCTGGGCTCCATGGGCTGTTCATGGGGACGTTCCTGGTGCCCAGCAGCATCCCCCTGTGCTGTGGAGCTGCCTGTGGTGGTTGGGTTAAAAACTCTGGGACCTGGCCAGACCCTGGGCAGTGCTGGGCTGGCCACATGAAGCCTTTGCCTTGCTCTGCGTTGCCTGCTGGTGAGGGGCAGAGCAAACTCATCCTCACCCTGCACCCGTGTCCTCGTCCTGCAGGTCCCTTGCCAGAGCCAGTTGTCAATGGCGATGTAGGGAAGGTAAGAACCTCACCTTGTTTTTCATCCCATCTATGCCAGTCCCCAAGGCAGGGACCCTGCCTGGTTAGGTGTCCCCTCTGTCCATGAGCGGGTGATGCCACCATGGACCACAGTCCTCCCAGGCTGGGGGGTGGGAGCTGATGCCCTCCAGAAAGGGGGTTCCTTGTGGTGCTGACTGTCATGGAGGTTTCTGCCTTCCTCCTCCTCCATCCTCATGGTGCTGCCCAGCTGGGAGCCCTTGTGCTGCTAGAGGGAAGTAGCATCCAGCCCTGCAGCTGCCCTCTTCCTCCTCCTGCTAAAGCCAGGGCAATGAGGCCGGGGTTTAATCCTTCCCCGCCCCGGATGGGCAGCGCTGGAGGTATTTATGAGCCTGGAGCTTGCAGGGGATTATGTGTGAGGACGGATTTCACAACCCCCTGTGTGGAACTCGCCACTCGAGGGGCCATTCCCAAAGCCCAGGGCTGGAGCTGCCTGGTTCACGTTTGCTTCCTGCTCCTTCCCAGGAAAACGGCGCAGAGCCACGGTCCAGCTCCGTGTCCGAGAGCCCGTCCAGCCCCGGGCCACTGGCCATGTCCCCCAACTCCAGCGACACCCACAGCAAGGTAGGGCTGGGGATGCTGGGGGAGGCGGTGGCTGGGAAGTGGGGTCCAGGTAGTCCCGGGGGGCACAATGGGGCTGACACAGCCTCTTGCCCCCCAGTCTGACACACAGGAGGGTGACAAGCACCATTCAGCATCCGGCTCCCTCCTGGACCTCGACATCCCACTGGCAGTGGCCAAGGAGCGGGCGCACCAGAAGCGCACCAGCAAGCGGGCTCCCCAGATGGACTGGAGCAAGAAAAATGAACTGTTCAGCAACCTGTGAAGGCCCCAGGGTGGGGGTGAGGGTCCTATGGGCCCCCCCGGCCTCGCACCCACCTCTCCTGCACCCCCTCTCCCTGCCATGGGGCTCCTGGTGGGGGTACAGGGCTGTTCCCCACCACCCCGGCCGGAGCGATGGGGCTCAGTGGCCAGTGAGCATCTCTGCAGCGGGGTCCTGATGAGGGTTATGGGTCAGAGGGTGCTGGGGGTGCCCCCTCCTGTGAGCCCATCCCCGGGGTGCTCCTCGAGCCCTGCTCACCCTGGTAGGCACAAGTGGGGATCTGGGGGGGAGATCAAGGATTCGGGGTGACCTGATAACCAACACTTCCTGCTGTTCCCTGGTTCTTCCCCCACCCCAAACCAACCCCATTTCCATTTGAGCCCCCCCACGTTGCCCTCTAACTGCAAAACTTGAGGCTTTTAGTGACTTTTAGCATCCCCGACCTGCCCGGCCACTGACCACAGCAGTTCCTCTCTGGGAGGAACCTTGCCTTGGTGAGCTCCGTCCATGATGTCCCCTTGTCCCTCCAGCTGCAGAGAGGGACACGGGTGCCCAGCATGGTGGGGAGCCCCCAGCACCCTGCCCCTGGGGCAATTCTGGGAGAGGAGAGGGTGTCCAGAGCCAGCACAGCAAGCAATAATCACCTCCCTTACTCCCGCTCACTCCTGGAGACAGAGCTGATCAGGGTTTGAATCCAACACTGTGTAATTTAAAGGCTTCTCAATAGACTCTTTCTCTCCAAAATAAGAGTTTTCCAATCACACTGTTTATTTTGTCTTTTTTTAATGTATTTTGTGGAAATTCTTCCTGTGGATGTTTTGTTTCCATGTGTTGCGATCGGGCGTTGTTGTACTGTCAAGCTAAAGAGAAATCCTGTTTACTGGAATAAACCTTCCTGACTTCATATGTCTGGCTTAAGGCTAAGTCCTTCCACAGCCCCAGGGTTTGTGGGGCTCATCAAGGACTCGTTGCTGTGCTGCAGGGGCTGGGGAAGAGGCAGGTGACACTCCCAGGGGTGGGGGTCATTGGGGCTTGTTTGGGTAAAACATAGCACCGGGTGGGGGGGGTTAGAGAGAGACTGGCTGGTTGCAGTGTGGGTTAATGCCTTGGGGTGATTAAAGGGCTCTAATCCCCCTTCGCCGGGTGGGGGGGTGAGGCAAGGCTCTAATCTGCTGGCCTTGCAGCAATGCTGGGGGCAGCCCAAATCGGCCCCCAGCTACTCTGGGGGGGGTGTTGAGGTGTGTCTGAGCCCCAGGGTCAAACCATGGGTTGAGGAAGGCATCAGGGATTGGTGGGGAAAAGGGTTGTTTGTCCTGAGTCGATGGTTCTATGTCCTGCCTGGGGAGGGGAGCAGGGGAAAGCAGGGCAGACGGCTGCTTGAACAGGGAGTTGGTGATGGTCCCGTGGCTGGAATGGGCTGGTGCTA